GTATAAGGGTCTCAGGGATATAAGGGTCCTCAGGGTATAAAGGCTCATGGTATATAAGGGGTCCCTCATGGTATATAAGGGTCCCTCATGCTGCATAAGGGTCCCCTATGCTGCATAAGGGGTCCCCATGGTATAAGGGGGTCCCCATGGTATATATAAGGGTCCTCATGCCATATAAGGGGGTCCCTCATTGTATATAAGGGGTCCCTGCATATAAGGGTCCCTGCGGTATATATAAGGGTCCCCATGGTATAAGGGTCCTCATGGTATATAAGGGGTCCCTCATGCTGCATATGTCCCCACATATATGTGGGTCCCCATGGTATATAAGGGGGTCCTCATGGTATATATGTCCCTCATGGCATATAAGGGGTCCCCATGGTATATAAGGGTCCCCATGCCATACAAGGTCCTCATGCCATATAAGGGGGTCCCTCATGGTATATAAGGGGGTCCTCATGGCATATATAAGGGGTCCCCATGGTATATAAGGGTCCCTCATGGTATATAAGGGTCCCTCATGGCATATGGCAATCCCTCATGGTATATAAGGGGTCCCCTGCTGCATAAGGGGGTCCCTCATGGTATATATGTCCTCATGGTATATAAGGGGTCCTCATGGTATATAAGGGTCCTCATGCTGTATAAGGGTCCCTGCGCTACAAGGGGGTCCCTCATGGTATATAAGGGTCCCCATGGTATATAAGGGTCCCCATGGTATATAAGGGTCCCCTATGCTGCATAAGGGTCCCTATGCTATAAGGGGTCCCCATGGTATATAAGGGGTCCCTCATGGCATATAAGGGGTCCACAGTATATAAGGGTCCCTCATGCTGTATATGGGTCCCTCACAGATATATAAGGGTCCCCTGCTATATAAGGGGTCCTCATGCTATATACAAGGGGTCCCTCATGGTATATAAGGGTCCTCATGGTAGTGTAAGGGGTCCCCTCATGGTATATAAGGGTCCCTCATGGCATATAAGGGTCCCCATGGTATAAGGGGTCCTCATGCTACATATAAATCCTCATGGTATATAAGGGTCCTCATGCTATATAAGGGGGTCCCTCATGCTATATAAGGGGTCCCCATGGTATATAAGGGTCCTCATGGTATATATGGGTCCCCATGCATATATAAGGGGTCCCTCATGCCGTATAAGGGTCCCTCATGCCATATAAGGGTCCTCATGGTATATAAGGGGTCCCCATGGTATACATAAGGGTCCCTCATGCTATAAGGGGTCCTCATGGTATATAAGGGGTCCTCAGTGGTATATATAAGGGTCCCTCATGGTATATAAGGGGTCCTCATGGTATATAAGGGGTCCCCGGTATATAAGGGTCCCTCATGCTATGGCATAAGGGGTCCCCTATGGTATATAAGGGGGCCTCATGGTATATAAGGGTCCTCGGTGGTATATAAGGGTCCTCATGGTATATAAGGGGGTCCTCATGGTATATATAAGGGGTCCTCATGGTATATAAGGGTCCTCATGGTATATGGCAAACTGCGTATATATGTCTCTCAAGTGCTGTATAAGGGGTCTCATGCCGTATAAGGGTCCCCATGGTATATAAGGGGGTCCTCATGGTATATAAGGTCCCTCACATGCTATATAAGGGGGTCCCTGCGGTATAAGGGGGTCCTCATGGTATATATAAGGGGTCCCTCATGGCATATAAGGGGTCCCTCATGGTGTATAAGGGTCCCTCATGGTATATAAGGGTCCCTCATGCTGTATATGTGGGTCCCCATGCTATGTTAAGGGGGTCCCCATGGTATATAAGTGGGGTCCACAGTATATATATAAGGTCCCCATGGCATATATGTCCCTCATGGTATATAAGGGTCCCTCATGCTATATAAGGGGTCCCCATGCTATATAAGGGGTCCTCATGGTATATAAGGGGTCCCTCAAGTGGTATATAAGGGGTCCCTCATGGTATATAAGGGGTCCTCATGGTATATAAGGGGTCCCTCATGGTATATAAGGGTCCTCATGGTATAAGGGTCCTCATGCTGCATAAGGGGTCCTCGCGGTATATAAGGGGTCCCCATGGTATACAAGGGTCCCTCATGGTATATAAGGGTCCCCATGGGTATAAGGGGTCCCTCATGCTATATAAGGGGTCCCTCATGGTATATAAGGGTCCCCATGGTATATATAAGGGGTCCTCATGGCATATAAGGGGTCCCCATGCTGTATATGGGGTCCCCATGCTATATAAGGGGTCCCCAAATAGTATATAAGGGGTCCCATGGTATATAAGGTCCTCATGGTATATAAGGGTCCTCATGCTGCATAAGGGTCCCTGCGATATATATAAGGGTCCCTCATGCTATATAAGGGTCCCCATGCTATATATGGTCCCTCATGTATATAAGGGTCCCCATGGCATATAAGGGGTCCTCATGGTACATAAGGGGTCCTCATGGCATATAAGGGTCCCTCATGGTATATAAGGGGTCCTCATGCTATATAAGGGGTCCTCATGGTATATAAGGGTCCCTCATGCTATATAAGGGGTCCCTGCCATATATGTGGGTCCCCATGCTATAAGGGGTCCTCATGGTATAAGGGTCCCCATGGTATAAGTAAGGGTCCCTCATGGTATAAGGGTTCATGCTGCATAAGGGTCCCCATGCTATATAAGGGTCCCTATGGTATATAAGGGGTCCTCATGGTATATATATAAGGGGTCCCTCATGCTATATAAGGGGGTCCTCATGGTATATAAGGGTCCCTCATGGTATATAAGGGTCCCTCATGGTATATAAGGGTCCCCATGGTATATAAGGGTCCTCATGGTATATAAGGGTCCCCATGCTATATAAGGGGGTCCCTCATGGTATACAAGGGGTCCCTCATGGTATAAGGGGTCCTCATGGTATATAAGGGTCCCTAAGCAGTATATAAGGGTCCCGTGCTGTATAAGGGTCCCTGTTGCATATAAGGGTCCCCGCGCTGCATAAGGGTCCCCATGCTATATAAGGGGTCCCTCATGGTATATAAGGGTCCTCATGGCATAAGGCGTCCCCATATAAGGGGTCCCTCATGGTATATAAGGGTCCTCATGGTATATAAGGGTCCTATGGTATATAAGGGTCCCTCATGGTATATAAGGGGTCCTCATGGTATATAAGGGTCCCTCATGGTATATAAGGGGTCCCTCATGGTATATAAGGGGTCCTCATGGTATATAAGGGGTCCTCATGGTATATAAGGGGTCCTCATGGTATATAAGGGGTCCTCATGGTATATAAGGGGTCCTCATGGTATATAAGGGGTCCTTGGTTGAAAAAAGTTTGAGAACCCCTGACCTACAGTAATGGTACATCTCAAGTTAGTCACAAACAATAAATAAACCTACTCTCTGAATAAACTTTAATAATTGCCTTAACAAACATTTATATGTGATAATAAATTATTGTAAAAGAATAAAACAACTGTATACTAGAACATTATAATATTTACAATATAAATAAATTCATGTATAATTATTATGATAATGTTGATGATGATGATGACAATGTTGATGATGATAATGAAGGTGATGATGTATAACAAGTATCTACTACCCATGAAGAATTTGTCACTCACTTGAAGGAGAAGCCCTCAGCCATCACACGTGGTCAATATTAAGGTGCAGTGTCTCGGTACATGCCTGGGCACCGCTTGAGCACCTGTGGCGCAACCCATACTTGAGGATAACCAGACCAACGGGAACAACACTTTAACACCTGTAAACAATGTGTGAGAGTCTTTATATGTGCAAACATCTAACATAACCTAACCAGACCAACGTGGAATAAGAATGGAGGAAACTACAGCGGGCCATACTGGGTAGTCCCATTTACACCCAACCTATCGCTCATATATCCATCCAACCTATGTTTGAAGCTATCCGCGTATTAGAGTTAATGATATTTGGTAACTTGTTCCACTACTCTCTTTCCAAACCAGTGTTTACCTATTTCGCGCCAAAATCTAAATTTGTCTAATTTAAAACCATTGTTACTAATTTGGCTCCTGGTTGGATAGTTTGAGTACCTTTGTAATATTACCTTTGTTTACCCCGACTTCCATTTATACACCTCTATCATATCGCCCTCACTCTATGTCTCTCGAGGAGTGCAAATTAAGATGCTTAACCTGTCTCTGTACTCAAGGTTCCTAATGCCCAGGATTAGTCTCGTCATTCTCCTCTGAATTCCTGTCTTTCTCCTGTAACCAATGTGTGAGAGTCTTTATGTGTGCAAATACCTAACATAACCCTAACCTAACAAAGAAACAATGTGTGTCATTACAGTAATCCAATAAATAGCCCTTCACTTCAGAAGAAATAAGGAGCACTCACCTTCACAATGTCCCACTCTGAGAACAGACGACCACGGCAGAGTTCTTGGAAAGAACATGAACCATTCTGTCATGTACAACACTGGCTCAATCTTGTGTTTCTGTAACAAACAAACAAAACATTATGACTGAGGTGACACAATATAGTTAAAAACAAAGCACTTTAAAAGTGTTTATGCTGGGGTGACACTATATACTGTAGTTAAAACAAAGCTTACTAAGTGTTTATAAGCTGAGGGTATTTATATATGAGACAACAAAGCACTAAGTGTTTATAAGCTGAGGTGACACTATATACTGTAGTTAAAACAAAGCTTACTAAGTGTTTATAAGCTGAGGGTGACACTATATACTGTAGTTAAACAAAGCTTACTAAGTGTTTATAAGCTGAGGTTGACACTATATACTGTAGTTAAAACAAAACTTACTAAGTGTTTATAAGCTGAGGGTGACACTATATACTGTAGTTAAACAAAGCTTACTAAGTGTTTATAAGCTGAGGGTGACACTATATACTGTAGTTAAAACAAAGCTTACTAAGTGTTTATAAGCTGAGGGTGACACTATATACTGTAGTTAAAACAAAGCTTACTAAGTGTTTATAAGCTGAGGGTGACACTATATACTGTAGTTAAAACAAAGCTTACTAAGTGTTTATAAGCTGAGGGTGATACTATATACTGTAGTTAAAACAAAGCTTACTAAGTGTTTATAAGCTGAGGGTGACACCTTCTTCAGCAATTTGTATAAAATATCTCCGTCCACTTGTATGGCTTCCTGTAAAAAATATAAAGAAATATTTTACCATTATGAATATTAGAGAGACAGATAATTCAGCAACATCATCATACAAGTTTACAATTGTTTCAGCATTACTTTAGTGTAGTGTATATACACAATACAGGTACAGTAGACCCTTGTCAACCACAGATGCTGGGTATCCAGGTATTTTACTGTACAGTACTATACCAACCACAGCATTGAATTTAATTATCCGTGAATTAGTGTGGCATTTTATCCCTCTGTGGTCTAATGTATTACTCTGTAATGTGAGGAATGAATCAAAATAATACTATCATTAGTGTTATATTCATTAGCCGGAGCAATCGGCGCAGACCACTCGAGAATGAGAGATTTTCTGGAAGCGAGCGACTCTCTCAAAGCCGAAATAAAATCCCTCATCCCTGGAATTTTCGGTAATGGAAAAATACCAAAGTTCAGAAATTGCACATTACATCATCTCTTGAACCGGAAAAATATATGCCATCCCAGAATTTTCCAGGCATCGGAAAAATTTTCTTGGAATTTTGGAAAATCCCTTCACTTTCATCTTGTATTAGCCTCTGTTACATTAATATTATATAAATATGGGCAAAGGACATATATTCATTATATCACGTTCTATCACCCAGACTATTGAGCATCCAGCTACATAAGCATTTCTTCTGTCACACTCCTAGGTGGACAGCACATAAACATTTGTTATTTCACACCTCTCGGTCTACAGAGCCCATGGTGAGACTCAACTCCCTCCGTGTGTGAGTAGGCCTGTTTTGATGTCTGCAAGTTGAAGGATGGGTTACTTCAGTCATTTCACAGACTCAAGAGAAAGACAGCCCAGTTCACAGCCCGCACGATGCTCCAAACTCGTGCTCTTCTAGAGACTAGCTCTTCTGGGCTAAAATTCTCTCTAAATATATCACAATTACAAGACAATAGCTAATGCTCAATAGTCTGTCAATACAAATAATTGTACAGACATTACTACCCAATATAACTATTAAATCAGCATGTGTGGTTACATTAAATCAAGGAACAACGAAGTGAAGAGAACAGTACTGTGTGTCTTGTTTAACTTACAAGCTAAGATAATTACAAGGGTTATCCCAGGACAGTTGTGACGCATTTAAACTATCAACGACTGTATCAAAGGTGACATGACGTGAGATGACCTGTATATCTACTCAGCTGTATCAAAGGTACATGACGGAGATGACCCCGATATTTCACCAGCTGTATCAAAGGTGACATGACGTGAGATGACCCTATATCTCGCTCAGCTGTATCAAAGGTGACATGACGTGAGAAGACCATATATCTCACTCAGCTGCATCAAAGGTGACATGACATGAGATGACCCTATATCTCACTCGGCTGCATCAAAGGTGACATGACACGAGATGACCCTATATCTCACTCAGCTGCATCAAAGGTGACATGACATGAGATGACCCTATATCTCACTCAGCTGCATCAAAGGTGACATGACGTGAGATGACCCTATATCTCACTCAGCTGCATCAAAGGTGACATGACATGAGATGACCCTATATCTCACTCGGCTGCATCAAAGGTGACATGACACGAGATGACCCTATATCTCACTCAGCTGCATCAAAGGTGACATGACGTGAGATGACCCTATATCTCACTCAGCTGCATCAAAGGTGACATGACATGAGATGACCCTATATCTCACTCAGCTGCATCAAAGGTGACATGACATGAGATGACCCTATATCTCACTCAGCTGCATCAGCTGCATCAAAGGTGACATGACGTGAGATGACCCTATATCTCACTCAGCTGCATCAAAGGTGACATGACATGAGATGACCCTATATCTCACTCGGCTGCATCAAAGGTGACATGACACGAGATGACCCTATATCTCACTCAGCTGCATCACAGACATGACGTGAGATGACCCCTATATCTCACTCAGTTGTATCAACAAAGGTGAGATGACCCTATATCTCACTCAGCTGTATCAAAGGTAACATGACGTGAGATGACCCCATATTCACCATAGCTGCATCAAAGGTAACATGACGTGAGATGACCCATCTCACTCGCTGTATCAAAGGTAACATGACGAGATGACCCCATATCTCACTCAGCTGTATCAAAGGTGACATGACGAGAGCGACCCTATATCTCACCAGCTGCATCAAAGGGTGAGATGCACCCTATATCTCACCTCCAGCTGTAATAAAGGTGACATGACGTGAGATGACCCTATATCTCACTCTGGTTGTATCAAAGGTGAGATGACCCATATCTCACCAGCTAAATAAAGGTGACATGACGTGAGATGACCTCATATCTCACTAGTTGCATCAAAGGTGAGATGACCTCATATCTCACTCCAGCTGTATCAAAGGTAACATGACGTGAGATGACCCTATATCTCACTCAGCTGTATCAAAGGTGAGATGACCCTATATCTCACTCAGCTGTATCAAAGGTAACATGACGTGAGATGACCCTATATCTCACTCAGCTGCATCAAAGGTGACATGACGTGAGATGACCCTATATCTCACTCAGCTGTATCAAAGGTGACATGACGTGAGATGACCCTATATCTCACTCAGCTGTATCAAAGGTGACATGACGTGAGATGACCCTATATCTCACTCAGCTGTATCAAAGGTAACATGACGTGAGATGACCCTATATCTCACTCAGCTGTATCAAAGGTGACATGACGTGAGATGACCCCATATCTCACTCAGCTGCATCAAAAGGTAACATGACGTGAGATGCATTCTATATCTCACTCGGTTGCATCAATAGCAGACATGACGTGAGATGACCTATATCTCACTCGGCTGCATCAGGCAGACATGACGTGAGATGATTCCTATATCTCACTCATAGCTGTATCAAAGGGTGACATGACGTGAGATGACCCCTATATCTCACTCAGCTGTATCAGGCAGACATGACGTGAGATGACCCTATATCTCACTCAGCTGTATCAAAGGTGACATGACGTGAGATGACCCTATATCTCACTCAGCTGTATCAAAGGTGACATGACGTGAGATGAGACCCTATATTCACTCAGCTGTATCAAAGGTGACATGACGAGATGACCCTATATCTCACTCAGCTGCATCAAAGGTGACATGACGCGAGATGACCATATCTCACTAGCTGTATCAAAGGTAACATGACGGAGATGACCCTATATCTCACTTAGCTGTATCAAAGGTAATATGACGAGATGACCCTTATATCTCTACTTCAGCTGCACTTCAAAGGTGACATGACGTGAGATGACCCTATATCTCACTCAGCTGCATCAAAGGTGACATGACGTGGAGATGACTCCTATATCTCACTCAGTTGCATCAAAGGTGACATTATGACGGAGATGACCTCATATCTTCACTCAGCTGTAACAAAGGTGACATGACGCGGAGATGACCCTATATCTCACTCAGCTGTATCAAAGGTGACATGACGTGAGATGACCCTATATCTCACTCGGCTGCATCAAAGGTGACATGACGTGAGATGACCCTATATCTCACTCAGCTGTATCAAAGGTGACATGACGTGAGATGACCCTATATCTCACTCAGCTGCATCAAAGGTGACATGACGTGAGATGACTCTATATCTCACTCGGCTGTATCAAAGGTAACATGACGTGAGATGACCCTATATCTCACTCAGCTGTATCAAAGGTGACATGACCCTATATCTCACTCAGCTGTATCAAAGGTAACATGACGTGAGATGACCCTATATCTCACTCAGCTGCATCAAAGGTGACATGACGTGAGATGACCCTATATCTCACTCAGCTGCATCAAAGGTGACATGACGTGAGATGACCCTATATCTCACTCAGCTGTATCAAAGGTGACATGACGTGAGATGACCCTATATCTCACTCAGCTGCATCAAAGGTGACATGACGTGAGATGACCCGATATCTCACTCAGCTGCATCAAAGGTACCAGCGACTAACCTACACTCGTTCAGGCAAGTGTTAACAAGTGAGATAGTTCGATATCATACCACAGCTAAAACAATCTCTCGAACTTATAAAAAACTCCATTTGAAGAAGGAGAGAGGATGATGCTAGCCCTCAGCCTTCCATTTGAAGAAGGAGAGAGGATGATGCTAGCCCTCAGCCTTCCACTTCAAGGAGAGAGGATGATGCTAGTCCTCAGCCTTCCACTTCAAGAAGGAGAGAGGATGTTCATGGTGGAGATTCTGTCAGTCCAGAGGTTCCTGACATTTTCATGGAAGGTCACTCACCTTCCAAGAAGCAGTAAAATGCTTCTCCTCCACCTCCACTTCCTTCTCTTCTCCCTTCTCCTCCTCCACCTCCCACTTCAAATTCACATCATCATCATCATCCAGGAGCCTTCTACATACACACCTCAAAGTGAGTGAACTTTTCTACCTTTTTTTGTTGAATTTATGCAATTTTCGGTGAGCTGGAACCAATTACCCAAAAACCCATTGAAACAATGGTTTCGGTTAACGAGTTTTTCGGTTAACAAGCAACCTGCTGGAACGGATTGTGATCGTTAACCGAGGGACCACTGTAATATCAATATTGTTTGGAATGTTTAAACTATGAAATTTGTTGTATGGGCAGCTAGTATCCAATGAATTAGTTTATGTGCTTAGCAATATTTATATATTCAAAATAGTATTACTGTGTTGCACAATAAAGCACAATTAACTAATACCTGTAATATTTATTTACTGAGCCAATCAGTGCAGTGTAGTGTAGTGCCGTTTGCTTAAGCTTGGTTATTAATCGGGCAAAAAATTTATAAAAAATACAAGTTCAGATTGTCCGAGGCTGATGGGTAACCCCTCCAATACTTTACATCAGGTATGGGTAACCTGCCCATGTGCAGCACACAGAGTGATTGAGAAATTTAATTTAATGTGGCTCACGGTTCAGGTTGGCTTATGGTGAATAAAGCAATACTATACAGTACAGTATAGTAAAATATATAACCTTGAGTTTCACCATTCAAGGCTAGATGCAGTAACTATGAGATTGTTAAATAAGTTCATAGCCAATGAAAGAGATAGTGACGAGGACAACCTTTTCACAGAAGTAAAATCAGTATTTGTATGGTTCAAACTGAGATGGGAAAAATTGAGTGGCATTACAACTGATGGGGCAAAGGATATGGTAAGCTCCAATGCTGGACCTTGTTGTGTGGATTAAAGCAGAGATGTCTGATCGTGACTTGGATCCTCAAGAACTGACTAGTACTGTATATTTCATTGTATCATCCCTCAAGAGACTCTGTTCAAAGACACTTAATTTTAAGCATGTCATTGATCCAATCATTATGTGCACCAAACCTCAGACTTTGAATCATCATCAGTCTCTTGAAGACTGTACTGCGAAAAAAGTAAAAGAAATAAATGTCCTCGGGGCAAGCGCATAACGGGAGGAGAGCGCAGTGTGTAGGGGTTGGGGAGCACTGCTAAGGAAGCAGCGTCCCGGCTGGTCTTTGTCACTATGGTGAAGCAGGGAGTGTATGCAAATGGGGACTGTGTTATTCTCTCATTTGACTTTTATTTATTGATTTGGCAATACAATATTTTTTGTTCGTATTAGTTTTATTTACTCCTCACATTTCCTGGTACTGTATACGTATACTATTTTAAGAAAACTATGGAGGAAAATACACACACAAGTTTATCCTAAATTAACTTCTCCGTTAACCAGAATCCTTCAGACCAAGAACTCTCCAATAGCTCGAATTGAAATTAGTTCAGAATTTTCCCTGAAAATTCTCTGAATTCCGGGTTTGGGACCAAATTCAAAGGTTGAAAATCAGGTCCATTTTCCAAAAACTTTAATAAAAATTCTGAAAATTCTTAACACATTTTTATTTCTGGGTCAGGGAATAAATTTTCAGGGCATTTGAAATGATTGCATCACGAACCAACCCATCACCACGTGGCCCCTAATTGTCTGGAAGTGCGAGGGTTTACCGTACACGATAACGATTGGCTGGCCGATGTGACAGTCTTCGTCGACATTAGTACGCATCTCAACGACCCGAACGTCGGGTTACAGATAAGATGTCAAATGATTCACGAGTTATATGGCCACATCAAATCTATTGAAAACAAACTACGGTCATGGCAGAAACCTGAAACATTGCACTTTCCTACTCTCCTGCAAGTTTGTGGAAATTAATTACCTTCCCCCACATATGACACAACAGTGACACCTTCCCCCACATATGACACAACAGGGTGACACCTTCCCCCACATATGACACAACAGTGACACCTTCCCCCACATATGACACAACAGGGTGACACCTTCCCCCACATATGACACAACAGTGACACCTTCCCCCACATATGACACAACAGGGTGACACCTTCCCCCATATGACACAACAGAGTGACACCTTCCCCTTGACACCCCACATATGACACAACAGGGTGACACCTTTCCCCACATATGCCACAACAGGGTGACGACACAACACACACTGACACAACAGAGTGACACCTTCCCCCACATATGACACAACAGTGACACCTTCCCCCACATATGACACAACAGGGTGACACCTTCCCCCACATCTCAATACCCTACTTACCAATCCCCGAGCGTAATATCCTGGGACGTATTTATCGCAAATTGATTTTAAGCACCAAAACGCAGGCTCAGCGGGCATCTGCATGAGGAGGACGGCAGCAAGAGGGGCGTGGGCTTGGCAGTACTCGTCGGGAGAGACCTGAGCGTGGACCTTCAACACCCGGAATAAATCTTCTTGGCTGAAAGAAAGAAAATGACGGAATGTTTTAGAGCTCATATTTACTTTCTGTAAATGTGTTATTATAGTATAGTGAGAGCAGCTATACAGGAGACTACACTACACAACACTATACTACACTACACAACACTATGCAACACTACACTACACTATGCAACATACACAACACTACACTGCAACACTACACTAGTTATGGCGAGCCAAGTGTTGTGTATCTTTCCAAACACCTCAGCTATAAATCATAATATTGTAGGAACAGCCATACAAGATGACAATATTAACTAAGCAGCTTAAAGGACACGGTATTGTTTTTGCAGTGTGTGTGTGTGTGTGTGTTTTAACTCACCCATGCCCTCCTTTCTGTAGGAACATTTCATGAAGAGGAAACTGTCGATGAAGATCCTTCCTGATGTCGTCTTCCAGTCTGGGGTCAGCCGGAGCCTCGGCCAACTGGTCAAACGCACAAGGATTTCTCTCCAGTTGTCTGATGAAGGAAAACACAATACAGTTCAGTACATAATGTTAAATACTGAAATGATAACTGTATCTGATGAAATATGAGAAAGAGACTTGAATACAAAATATTGGTGAAGACAAACGAGGAGCTCCAGACCATAACCCGCTAAGAGCCATATGTCGTGTTATGTGTTGTATTGTATTCCCCTAACCTCTCCTCTCTCCCCTGGGTAAGTCAGAGAGCTAATTGGGAACCTGTACATGAGCCTGAGAGTCCTCTCAAGAGACTATATATTATGCGTGATGAATCAATGTAAACTTGTATGAGGAACTTACTGAATATTTATGTTTACTGTACTACTATATGTTGGGTGATGGAGGTGTTGGCCCTTGACTACATCACAAGTCTTAGCTACAGGAGAGTGAGTGTTGCTCTTCACTCGCATTACTGTACAGTAAACGACACTTACAAAATTCCCAAATAGATGACCGACGACCTCACTTAACCCAACCTAAGGTGCTGTACTGTACTAAGAACGAACAACACTTGATGAGATTTACTTGTGTGCACCACACAGGTGTTGCCATCCTCGTGCACGGAGAGCTGAAGGAATTCCCTTGCGGCATCTGTCTCTGACTTTCTTGTACTTCTTGAGCATGTGAGAGTCCCAGTTGCTGAACATATCCAGCCATTTCTTCTCTCTTCTTCTGATAACATCTACTGGTACTGTTTCCTCCCTGAAGAAATTAATGAACTGTGAGACAAAACATCTGTACTGTACTGTACTGTACTGTACTACTGTTACTAGCACCAGCAGGTGATGGTGTACTGTACTGTTACTAACACCAGCAGGTGATGGTGTACTGTACTGTTACTAACACCAGCAGGTGATGGTGTACTGTACTGTTACTAACACCAGCAGGTGATGGTGTAGTGTACTGTTACTAACACCAGCAGGTGATGGTGTAGTGTACTGTTACTAACACCAGCAGGTGATGGTGTAGTGTACTGTTACTAACACCAGCAGGTGATGGTGTACTGTACTGTTACTAACACCAGCAGGTGATGTGTACTGTACTGTTACTAACACCAGCAGGTGATGGTGTAGTGTACTGTTACTAGCACCAGCAGGTGATGGTGTACTGTACTGTTACTAACACCAGCAGGTGATGGTGTAGTGTACTGTTACTAGCACCAGCAGGTGATGGTGTACTGTACTGTTACTAACACCAGCAGGTGATGGTGTAGTGTACTGTTACTAGCACCAGCAGGTGATGGTGTAGTGTACTGTTACTAACACCAGCAGGTGATGGTGTACTGTACTGTTACTAACACCAGCAGGTGATGGTGTACTGTACTGTTACTAGCACCAGCAGGTGATGGTGTACTGTACTGTTACTAACACCAGCAGGTGATGGTGTACTGTACTGTTACTAGCACCAGCAGGTGATGGTGTACTGTACTGTTACTAACACCAGCAGGTGATGGTGTAGTGTACTGTTACTAACACCAGCAGGTGATGGTGTACTGTACTGTTACTAACACCAGCAGGTGATGGTGTACTGTACTGCTACTAACACCAGCAGGTGATGGTGTACTGTACTGTTACTAACACCAGCAGGTGATGGTGTAGTGTACTGTTACTAACACCAGCAGGTGATGGTGTACTGTACTGTTACTAACACCAGCAGGTGATGGTTACTAACACCAGCAGTGTGGTGGTGTACTACTGTACTGTTACTACACACCAGCAGGTGGTGGTGTAGTGTACTGTTACTAACACCATGCAGGTGTACTGTGGTGTAACTGTACTGTTACTAAGGTGATGGTGTAGTGATGGTGTAGTGTAACTGTTACTAACACCAGGTGCAGGTGTGGTGTACTCTACTGTTACTAACACCAGCAGGTGATGGTGTACTGTACTGTTACTAACACCAGCAGGTGATGGTGTACTGTACTGTTACTAACACCAGCAGGTGATGTACTGTACTGTACTGTACTGCTACTGTTAACACCAGCAGGTGATGGTGTACTGTACTGTTACTAACACCAGCAGGTGATGGTGTACTGTACTGTTACTAACACCAGCAGGTGATGGTGTACTGTACTGTTACTAACACCAGCAGGTGATGGTGTAGTGTACTGTTACTAACACCAGCAGGTGATGGTGTAGTGTACTGTTACTAACACCAGCAGGTGATGGTGTACTGTACTGTTACTAACACCAGCAGGTGATGGTGTACTGTACTGTTACTAACACCAGCAGGTGATGGTGTACTGTACTGTTACTAACACCAGCAGGTGATGGTGTATGTACTGTTACTAACACCAGCAGGTGATGGTGTACTGTACTGTTACTAACACCAGCAGGTGATGGTGTACTGTACTGTTACTACACCAGCAGGTGATGGTGTAGTGTACTGTTACTAACACCAGCAGGTGATGGTGTACTGTACTGTTACTAACACCAGCAGGTGATGGTGTACTGTACTGTTACTAACACCAGCAGGTGATGGTGTACTGTACTGTTACTAACACCAGCAGGTGATGGTGTACTGTACTGTTACTAACACCAGCAGGTGATGGTGTACTGTACTGTTTCTAGCACCAGCAGGTGATGGTGTACTGTACTGTTACTAACACCAGCAGGTGATGGTGTACTGTACTGTTACTAACACCAGCAGGTGATGTGTACTACTGTTACTAGCACCAGCAGGTGATGGTGTACTGTACTGTTACTAACACCAGCAGGTGATGGTGTACTGTACTGTTACTACACCAGCAGGTGATGGTGTACTGTACTGTTACTAACACCAGCAGGTGATGGTGTACTGTACTGTTACTAACACCAGCAGGTGATGGTGTAGTGTACTGTTACTAACACCAGCAGGTGATGGTGTAGTGTACTGTTACTAACACCAGCAGGTGATGGTGTACTGTACTGTTACTAACACCAGCAGGTGATGGTGTACTGTACTGTTACTAACACCAGCAGGTGATGGTGTACTGTACTGTTACTAACACCAGCAGGTGATGGTGTAGTGTACTGTTACTAACACCAGCAGGTGATGGTGTACTGTACTGTTACTAACACCAGCAGGTGATGGTGTACTGTACTGTTACTAGCACCAGCAGGTGATGGTGTAGTGTACTGTTACTAACACCAGCAGGTGATGGTGTAGTGTACTGTTACTAACACCAGCAGGTGATGGTGTAGTGTACTGTTACTAACACCAGCAGGTGATGGTGTACTGTACTGTTACTAGCACCAGCAGGTGATGGTGTACTGTACTGTTACTAACACCAGCAGGTGATGGTGTACTGTACTGTTACTAACACCAGCAGGTGATGGTGTAGTGTACTGTTACTAACACCAGCAGGTGATGGTGTACTGTACTGTTACTAACACCAGCGGGTGATGGTGTACTGTACTGTTACTAACACCAGCAGGTGATGGTGTACTGCACTTGTTTTTTTCGGGGATTAGCCCACCCTGGCACAGGTCACTGACCCACATTGGGGCCTGGGGGGCGAAAATGTAATAATAATAATAATAATAATAATAATAATAATAATAATAATAATAATAATAATAATAATAATAATAATAATAATAATAATAATAATAATAATAATAATAATAATAATAATAATAATAATAATAATAATAATATTGTTCAGTGATAATAATGCTAAAACATTGATCATTAAGGCCATTTTCCAGGGTGGTGTGGGTCAATACCTGGCTGTAGCTCTCCAGGCTCAAGTGTGTCTGGCAGCCTCTCTTGAGCTAATTCCTCACACCCTCTCCCTATGTTATTCTTAACCTAACCTACCCCTGGCCCTCCTCTCATTTATACACCTCTTTACCAAGCTGGTCTCATCCACACGTCCAAACTATCTCAGCCCACAGAAACTCTCCATAAAACCTCACCAATACAGTACTGTACTGTACTGTACTGTACCCTCAATCCCCAGCTATCCTCTTAGCTTTGACTAAGGTGACCAGTATTTCAGTGTCTCCACCTCACCACTTGAGCCTGTGTACAGCACTGTATGTCATCCTCTTTAACTTCCCCATGACCACAGTCACCACACGTGTAGGTCTTTACTTACCCGTCCTCAGTGTACTGAGCTCCTCCCAGGAAACCAAACTTGTCTGGCACTGTGGACACCTCAGACGCGGCAGCCACACTGCTGGCCACAGATTCTGAGTCAGACCAGTCTCGTGTAGCCATGTCCGACTCTGTAACATTGTCACCACTTTATATAGTACAGCGTCTCAACACAGATGGTGATGAGGATAACATGATTAACACCAGCAACAGACCTCACAAGTGTTACTGTTGTATACAAACTCTCACCACCAATACTTGTAAGAGTGTATACACCAAGACAGTGTATACACCAAGACAGTGTATACACCAAAACAGAGTATACACCAACACAGTGTATACATCACTGTGAGACAAGTGGCAACACCATAAAACAGTTAAAGTTTAGAGAGACGTTTGAAGGCAGCTTTACCACCAACAACACGTGAGTCTGGCTCAACACTTGTCATCAATATTATCTATATTTATGACTACTGTACTGTACTGTAGTTAGACAAGAAGCAAAAGTTAAATTTTTCTCTTGATAAAAAGTAGTGATGACCACTTACACAAGTTTACATAATTCATAGTAAAATGCTTAAAATACAGAACTGTACATCATTTATTTGACACTAATACTACAGTAACAACTTACATAAAGTAAGCGCTCGTACATTGTGCTATACTATACTTGTACACACGGTAAAATAAAGTAGGAGTGTCTGCTGACTTACATACATCACCTCATGTGCCAGGAGAGTTCAGAGGTTCCACCCACCTATGGTAGGGCCATATTAGTTATGTCCCACAGGACCAGCATAATATCATCAACACTATTACATTACAGTAATAATTATCTTACAAGGCATATTCCACTATCACTCGTCCATGGTGTCATATTGTTTTGCACATAATCCATGCTGTACCTTTTACTATGTACACATGTGTATCATCCACACATGTTGGTTAGTAATACCAGAACTACACATCATCATCATCACTACTGTACTGTACACAGAACTTTGAAGCATCATCCCGGATACAAATGTTAACATACTGTATGTATACAGTATTTTGTTCAACAAGTTAATGTAACATAATATTGAATATTGTACAATACCCTATATAATATTACAAGACTTCTAGAATAAATATCTTAAGGTGACACTTATTATATTGTTTAACTCTTCTGGGGAGGGGGGAGGAGGAGTGGAAGGGGAGGGTGAGGAGAGGAAGAGGGGGGTGAGGAGAGGAAGAGGGGGGTGAGGAGAGGCGAGGAGGGGAGGGGAGGGTGAGGAGATACCTGTACACCACCCTGCTTCTGTTTAGAACTCATGGCAACAAAATAGTTCCACCAACGGCACAACAAACTAACATAAATCCTGGGATCACTTTCAAAGGAAGGCTGAGGCAACAGTTACAGTGTGTGTGGGGGAGAAGGGTCAACACAGACACAATGGGAAGCTGGAGGTAATTTCAAATGCTTATTTCCTTTACTGATGGATTCCATCCCTGGATTCCTTGCAACTTGGGGAAGGTTTTACATTTAGTTCTCCAATAATTTGGGCTCATAACTGCAGATCCACAAATAATGAATACGTATTCGGATAAAGAAGACCACAGCAGTACTGTACAACGGTGTGTTGCACATTACTGCTGTGTGCAAAATTATACAGTATTGATTCATAATCTCTGTACATATACTACTACAGTGAGTTTTGCTATAACGCGTGTTTTGACAACGCAAATTGGCTCTAACGCGATTGATGAATAGAGTAACAATATTTGTAAAACGCGAACTCGTTTGCTCTAACGCGATTCCACTCGAACGGTTGTTATGGCTTGGCGCGGGGTTATGCAGAGTTTACAGTTCACGTTCGACATCACATCAGACCATCAGTGAGGTAGAGCCACAGTTAGGGTGGGAATTACAGCATCTGATGTCTCCCCCTAATCTACTGTCAGTCATCAATCCCCTCACGCCAAATCAGTAATACGTGCAGCTCAGTTTTTTGTGGATGGTCAATTCAATAAAAGTCAATAACAATTACCTTTGTAAACTTATATTATCACATAGATATTTCTTCGTCCATCCTGCCAAATAAATTCTTGTTCACTTAGTTATTAGAAAAATCAATTAATAATAATTTTCTCCTATTTTCATATATGAGTAATACCATCACTATAAGCCATTAATTATATTCTCTCTAATTTCGTGTAATCTAACAAAAATTAATCACATATCACGTTGTTACACCATCTGGCTTATTAATTAACTGCAATATTGTCAAGCTACCAACTTCAGTTTATTAAATATCTTTATATAACAGTTTAAGTTAAGTATCTCTCTAATTATTCTTGTTTATCATAAAATATTCCCCCTAATAACAATCACTCATAAATAGTCTTTAATTATCATTGGTATATATTATAGCAATACGTATATTAATTAAAAGAGCCGATATAATAAATCCAAACAACAGCCTTACATATTTGGTTACAATGGTATCATATAAAACTACAAATTTTACCTGTACTGTACTGTATAAAGATAGCATCACAAGAACCATAAATACAGCACAGGTGGAGTGTGTTAGTCATACCACTCGGAGCTTTACAATGACAGCTCAGTGTAGGACATAAGTGCGTGTGTGTGTGTGTGTTTTTACACAGGGTGGTGTAATGCATCTAGTGTGGCAGCATTATGTTTGTGTTAAGATGCAAGCACTGCTTGCTTCCTCTCGTCTTCAGCTGCCGCAGCTGGCTAGCCCTAGTGGCAAACAGAGAAGCAGCTTGCCTAAGTCTTCCCCTGCCAGTACACAGCTTCTTCACCACCAAGACTCCTGCTGTGCCTCCTCGTGGCAACATACTGTAGATGGGTGCCTCGTGGGCCCAGGCTAGACCAGCAGGGGATCTCGGAGTAGCAGTGGGCCTCAGAGGGGCGGTGCATAGGCCCACTGGCATGTGGACACGTCCTGGCACCTACCGACCATTGACCCGCTGCCTTGTGGGTTAACCTTGGTAGGTATAAGGCTACGGAAGTAAACCCTGAACAAAAAATCTGCGGTGGAGCCCCGCATCAGGCAGACATGCTTACAGAGCTCCAACAAGACCCCAACGGCGGTGTAGGCAGAAGAGGTGATCAACACGGGAACCCAACGACTACACCGGCGAACGAAGGCAATGCCTGACGGACAGGCTACTAAGGCGAAACCCAACAAACTGGGCTTCGGCAGTCCATTGTAACTCTCCTCTCCCCAGTCATTGCAATACCTGCACCACTGGCTCAGGAAAAAGGGAGAGACAAGATGTGTGGTTGTGCTCCTCTGCCTCACCACATAAATCAACTCACGCTCAGCCATCATAACACTCCTATCATCAAACCCCTATACCCCCAAAAGTCCCATGGCGACAGGGACAGGCAGAGATGACTGCCGGGAGTCTCTAGTCACAACTTTGCACATGGGCGGCACAGATAAGATGGTTGTTTGTGTACTGGGATCCAGGCAGCAGTGCAATCCAGTCCTGTCTGTGTGACTGAGCAGCCCTTATGAGGAGCCACTCTGCTAACCCCACATGGGGAGGGGGCTAGAAAAGGTGTCCTAAACATAGCCTGCCTAAAAAAAAAAACCTGACTAGGCAACTGCACCCAGTAAGGTCATCCTTATGCAGTCAAAAACACAATCAAATCACAGATCCAAATAAAAACAAACCATACAACCTCTTATGGTCGCTGCATGGAATATCAGGACCCTTCTGGATACTTGTACAAATGAGGATCCTGAAAGAAGAACTGCCCTTGTGGCAGAAGAGCTGGCTAGGTATAACATCGACATAACAGCCATTAGTGAGTCCAGGCTCACAGACGAGGGTCAACTCACAGAACGGGGGTCTGGCTATACCTTCTTCTGGAAGGGTAAGTCTGCTGCGGAGAGAAGCAGCATTTATGGAGTTGGCTTTGCCATCCGCCAACGCATCCTACACGAGCTAACTGAAATGCCTGTTAGGATCAACGAGCGCTTCGTGATGCTCCGAGTCCCACTGAGTCACTCGCGTCATGCCTTCTTCATCAGTTCATACGCCTCAACACTGGATGCAGTGGATAACATCAAGGAGGCCTTTTATGCCAACCTTGACAGAGTGCTAACCTCTATCCCTGGAGAAGACAAGGTTGTGCTCCTTGGCGACTTCATTGCCAGGGTTGTCCTGATAAACAACCCGACAACAAACAGCCCAAATCCCTGTACCGCATTGAGTACAAGTATTCTTGAAACTGTCATGACAAAAACCTGTAGAGAGACCCTCGGCCAGGTCGAAAGAATACACCAGGACTGGTTTGATGAAAATGTCCCGGATGATAAACGTGCTGCGCTAATTGACTGGCAGAACAACCCTCAGTCTAGGACCAAAGCTGATACCTTCCTCCGGAAGAATGCAGCGGCCCAGCGCGAACTTCGCAAACTAAAGAACGACTGGTTTAAAAATAAAGCATGTGAAATGCAAAAACTTGCATATCAAGACAAGATGCGCAAATTCTTCAACTACACTAAAATATTTTATGGGCCAATCACTCATGAGACAGTCTCCCTTTGCTCATCCCAAGTAACTCCCCAATTAAAGACGAAGAAGGCGTCCGTCAACGCTGAAAAGAGCACTACCATTCGCTGCTCAACCGAAACACCAATGTGGATATCCTGACTACCCAGTAGGTAGTCAGGAGCTGACCCATCTCAGCTATCCTCCATCCCTGGATGAGGTAGCTACTACCATCAAACAGTTGAAAAATAACGAAGCCTCAGGGCCTGATGGAATCCCAGCAGAGGTGTATAAAGCAGGAGGACCTCTGCTTACCAGCCATCTCCACTCTCTCCTGGAGAATGTATGGGAAAAGGAGGAAATCCTCCAAGCACTGAAAGACGCCTCCATCGTCAATATTTATAAGAACAAGGGAGACCAGTCAGACTGTGGCAACTACCGTGGGATCTCGCTGCTGTCCGTAGCTGGCAAGATTATCGCCCGAGTCCTCCTAAAGACTACTACCTGAGGCAGAAAACTTCCTACCAGAATCTCAATGTTGCTTTAGACCATCACGTGGTACCACTGACATGATCTTTGCTGCCCGTCAGATACAGGAAAAGTGCAGAGAACAGCGTCGTGACCTGTACATGGCAATTATCGACCTAACCAAGGCCTTCGACTCGGTCAACAGGGAGGCCCTCAGCCGGTTTGGCTGCCCACCAAAATTCATCGCCATTGTGAGGCAACTCTACGATGGCATAAACGGCAGTGTCCTACACAACAGCACCCAGTCTGAGTTCTTCCCTATCCAAACGGGGGTAAAACAAGGATGTGTACTGTCACCAACTCTCTTTTTCCATTTTCTTGGTTGCCTTCCTTACTCGTGCTAGTGCCAATTTAGCCGGCAGGGTGGACATCAAGTACCGGGTGAAGGATTTTTTCAAAATAAGATGACTCCAGGCAGGAACAAAGGAGTTGGCAGCTTCCATTACTAAACTTCAGTATGCAGACCACCTCACCCTTGTCGCTCACACTGAACCCGACCTACAGGAGATCCTGAACACCTATTGCAGATGCGTATGCACACTTCGACCTCGAGGTGAATGTACGTAAAACTCAAGATTCTCTTTGAACCTGCCCCTGGATCAGCCACACCTCCACCATCCATCCAGCTTAACGGTACTACCCTCTCTAATGTTACCCACTTTCAGTATCTCGGCTCCCACCTGTCCACCACCACGGACATTGATGAAGAGATTCAGCATCGGATCAGATGAGCATCTCAAGCCTTTGGCAGACTCCGTACCCGTGTCTTCAGCTGTAGGGAGTTGAAATTATCTACAAAGTTACACATATATCAAGCAGTGGTCCTCCCCACCCTGCTATATGGCAGTGAGACATGAATCACATACAGGAAACACCTCAAGGCACTTGAAAACTTTCACCAGCGTAGTCTACGTTTCATCCTCCGAGTTTGCTGGGAAGACAAGAGAACAAACGGCAGTATTCTCGCTGACACCAACTGTAGGAGCATCGAGGCTACCATTATCCATGAAAAACTACGCTGGACTGGCCATGTTATCTGCATGGACGACAGTAGACTGCCAAAGCAGCTACTTTACAGTCACCTAACAAATAGTAAACGTTAAGCTGGCAGGCAACTGAATAGGTATAAGGATAGTCTTAAGGCAAACCTGAAAAAGTGCCAATTCGACCCCCTCAGCTGGGAGACGATTACTCCACACCGTAACACTTGGAGGAGCACCACAAGAGAAGGTGTCAATACCTTCAAATTAACCAGACTGCGTAAAAAAGCAGCCAAGCGCCAGTGTAGGAAAGGCGCTACCGCCACCCCTCCCACACTAGATGTAGACCCCTACATGTGCAACATGTGGTCGACACTGTCGGTCCCATATTGGCCTCTTTAGTCACCTCAGAACTCACCAACCTAGGTGACATCCTTAATAACTCATACCATTGTATCTTAGCTGAATGATCGTCATACTCGATTCCGAGTGACAGAACTGAGTGACAGAAAAGTAGTACATAAGAACCTAAGGAGTCTGCAATAGGCTGGTTGGCCTGTGCATGGCAGCTCCTGTCGAGAGTTACTACCACTCTCTATCATCCATGAATCTATCTAGCCTCCTTTTAAAACTTTCCAGCATTCCAGCACTTACTACAAAGTTGCTAAGCTTGTTCCACCACCCTATTTGTGAACCAGTACCTTCTTATCTCCCTCCTAAACCTAAACTTATCCAACTTAAATCCGTTGCTACGAGTCCTATCCTTGTTGATAACAGTGCAGTGATCAACAAGGTCAAAAGACTTCCTGAAGTCAACAAGGGCAACGGCCAGTGATGTCTTACATTTCTGTGTGTGTGTGTGTGTGTGTGTGTGTGTGTGTGTGTGTGTGTGTGTGTGTGTGTGTGTGTGTGTGTGTGTGTGTGTGTGTGTGTGTGTGTGTGTCTCTGGGCTTAAATATTTACCTTATAACACTTTACATCCTGGAATGTGAGCCTCTAACAATGTTCTGAGGTTAAAACAGAGGTTCAAAGTTGTCATACATACACACACCCACTACAGGTAGTGATATCTCTGTTAGCCGGAATAATTGGTGCAGAACACTTCCAGGAATGAGAGATTTCCGGGTAACGAGGCGACTCTTTCAAAGCCGGAAAAAATCCCTCGTCCCTCCAAATTTTCTCAGAATTTACAGAAAATGCGCCTAATTTTCATCTCTCTAACCCAGAAAGAACTCCCCCATCCCCAGAATTTTCCAGGTATCGGGAAATTTTTCTTGGAATTTACCGGAAAATGTGCCCCTCGTAAAATCATTGTGAAAGCCGGAATTTTCCGTAAAGATTTCAATTGCGGCTATTGGAGAGTTCCTGAGATATTACCATACAGTATCTACACACACCCACTAGAAATATGTACACATACACTACAAACATCCACACACTATAATCATCTACACATCCAAGATATCGTCCATCACCTGTTCACAATATTATTAACACTGTGTTGACGTCTGAGATGTAGCCTTTACTGTACAACAATAAGTGATTGTTTAAGCCTATCACTGGCTGTCAGTAAAGGGTTAAATATCATAGTGCTGACTACTAATATGTACAGTGTGGTCGTTAGGTCAGGTTAGGGCTGAGTTTGGTTGGTTTGGGTTAGGTTAGGCTGGGTTGGGTTAGGTTAGGTTAGGCTGGGTTGGGTTGGGTTAGGTTACGTTAGGTTGGATCAAATTAGACTGGTTCAAGTTGGGTTGGGTTAGGCTGGGTTAGATTAGGTTAAGTAAGGCTGGGTTGGGTAAGTCTAATGTTCAAGATGGGTGAAGGATAATGTGTATAGTGCATTTGTCCCGGCTGAGAAGAGATGCCCCGCCCCCTCATCAAGAGCCAGCTGATTGGCTGTTGCAAATCTGACCGATTTCATCCTGAAGTAATGATGTATTTCTAAATGAGTTTATTTATAATTGTTGGGATGCAAAAACTACCATTTTAAAAGATCAGAATCGCATTAAAATATTCCACAGTCCCTAACAGTTAGTGGATGAGTGTGACAGCTTGGCCGCTAGAGCCATCAGCCGAGGCGGGAAATATGAAGTTGTTCGCAGTCATATTTCCCGCCTCTGCTGACGGCTGTGGAATATTTCAATGTGATTCTGATCTTTTAAAATGGTAGTTTTAGCATAATGTAATATTACTGCTACATAATTTGTCTTAGTATGCCTTATTGTGGGTAATAATAAGTACAGTATATATTAAATGTGTCCTCCAGAAGCGTCAAATGGCCACCAGAGTTTAACAGTTAATTCTTGTATAATATTTCTGATAAACTTCCTACTTGCTCATGTTTAAAATAATAAATGTTTGTATCTTTATATAATTTAGCTAAATATCTGAAAGGGTCATGCCAGCAATTATGAATAAAGTCATTTAGAAATACATCATTACTTCAGGACAAAATTGGACAGATTTGCAACAGCCAATCAGGTAACTCTTGAGGAGGGGGCAGGGCATCTCTTCTCAGCTGGAAAAAACCCACTATAGTGAAGTTATAAGAGTGCATTGAAGGTTAGTGTGTACAAGTGTGTCTAGTCATAAGTGTGTCGAAGGTTAGTGCTATACAAGTGTGTCTAGTCATAAGTGTGTCGAAGGTTAGTGTGTACAAGTGTGTCTAGTCATAAGTGTGTCGAAGGTTAGTGTGTACAAGTGTGTCTAGTCATAAGTGTGTCGAAGGTTATAAGTGTGTCTAGTCATAAGGTTAGTGCTATACAAGTGTGTCTAGTCATAAGTGTGTCGAAGTGTGTCTAGTGTGTACAAGTGTGTGTCTAGTCATAAGTGTGTCGAAGGTTAGTGTGTACAAGTGTGTCTAGTCATAAGTGTGTCGAAGGTTAGTGTGTACAAGTGTGTCTAGTCATAAGTGTGTCGAAGGTTAGTGTGTACAAGTGTGTCTAGTCATAAGTGTGTCGAAGGTTAGTGTGTACAAGTGTGTCTAGTCATAAGTGTGTCGAAGGTTAGTGTGTACAAGTGTGTCTAGTCATAAGTGTGTCGAAGGTTAGTGTGTACAAGTGTGTCTAGTCATAAGTGTGTCGAAGGTTAGTGTGTACAAGTGTGTCTAGTCATAAGTGTGTCGAAGGTTAGTGTGTACAAGTGTGTCTAGTCATAAGTGTGTCGAAGGTTAGTGTGTACAAGTGTGTCTAGTCATAAGTGTGTCGAAGGTTAGTGTGTACAAGTGTGTCTAGTCATAAGTGTGTCAAAGGTTAGTGTGTACAAGTGTGTCTAGTCATAAGTGTGTCGAAGGTTAGTGTGTACAAGTGTGTCTAGTCATAAGTGTGTCAAAGGTTAGTGTGTACAAGTGTGTCTAGTCATAAGTGTGTCGAAGGTTAGTGTGTACAAGTGTGTCTAGTCATAAGTGTGTCAAAGGTTAGTGTGTACAAGTGTGTCTAGTCATAAGTGTGTCGAAGGTTAGTGTGTACAAGTGTGTCTAGTCATAAGTGTGCATTGAAGGTTAGTGCTGTACAAGTGTGTCTAGTCATAAGTGTGTCAAAGGTTAGTGCTGTACAAGTGTGTCTACTATAATGATTAACTTGAGTGTTGTTGGAGAGAAACTGTGCAGCAGGAGGCAGCATTAGCAGCAGCACAAGAAGGAGTAACAGCATCGGGCAATATTCACTGACCAATGTACCACGTGGACGACATCTTGAGCTGGCTGCTGCTTCTTGTTGTCGATGATGTTGTAGCTTCCTGTTCTATCGCCTCCACCACGGTGTTAGTAGCACCAGTATTAAAACCACCAGTAACTTTTAACACCAATACTGTAACGGCATCAGTCCATTTGTAACACGAGTGCAGAGTCAGTGAGCACCATCACGGTGTTATGCCTGGAGAGACACTTACTTGATAACACACACACACGGTCAAGTGTTACTCCCACCACCTCCTCTACACTACACTACATTGGAGTTAGATTAGTGTCATATCATCACACCTTCAGGCTCCAACTGTTGTCGGTCTTCCAAATCTGGAATTTTACAACCAGCCTTTTCGCCTTCAACCCGACACTTGCTGCAGATCTTGACGGAGTCATCAGTTGGGCTCCGGCCACTGGTAGTGTGATTATTGTAGTGGATGAACCCGCCTACCACACCTATTGTACAGTACTGTCGGGAATACTGAAGTAGGTTACTGTACCAGTCTTGTATAACTTAAACTATAGGTAAAGTACTACTATTATCATCATCATTCTTACTCAAAACCTCAAGTCTGTCTGTCTGTCTGTGAGCCAAAATGACTAAAGGCAGCAGGTTGATCTGTGGATTTACACCAAACTCGGCAGGTTTTATTAACATGTGACAAGTGGTAAATTTTGGCAAAAATCGTGCCAAAACTGACCGAGTGTTGCCATGGAAAAAATTTAAGCAATGATACATCAGGTCGCTTTTCATTATTATGATCATCGTTATTACACACAAACAGAGACACCCTCCATTACTTTGGGCCCCAACACACTCCAGGTTGTAGACTCCACCAAGTTCATCGACTTCACTATAGACAACAAATTAATTGTAAAACACACGTCAGTACAAGTGTCAAATCCTGCAGTTTTCGTCTCAAGTCCCTAAGAGTTCCCACGCCAGAGCTTCACATTCATACTTCCCAAGATCATCTATGCCTTCCTCAACACACTGACCCCTCTCTGACCATCACCACGGCCTCATCTACAAATATGGGGAGAAGTTTCTGCACCATCCTCAACACCGGCTCCTGTATTATAGTATCACTTATGTTACTTGTACATATTAATCAAGTGACCCATTACCCAATTATGTAACTATATTTTCAGAATTTTGACAGCCATGTTGTTTCAGTAAACCATTAATTATTATAACATACAGTTCATGTCCCCATATCTAAAATGACTTGGTCAAGATAGTGGTGGTAGTGGGGGGTGGTGGTGGTAGTGGTAGTGGGTGGTGGGGGGGGATGGGGTGGTGGTAAGTAGTGGGGGGGTGGGGTGGGGTGGTGGTAGTGGGGGTGGTAGTAGTAGGGGTAGGGGTGGTGGTAGTGGTGGTGGTGGTAGTGGGGTGGTGGTAGGGGGTGGTGGTAGAGAGGATATGACAAGGGCGTAGTCCAGGTATTGTTGGTGGTGCAAGCACTTATACTTAACACTTTACAGAGACACACATGCATGAAAATACAATACATAACAAGATGTAAGTTAATCATAATGTTGAGGCTTACATCAGTGTGTGTGTGTGGGTGTGTGTGTCCATCAACACCTAAATGAGAATAATCCTTCCTAAAATAAGACAGGAAGCAGGTAACGTCATACAGTGGCTGGTGGTGACATCACATAGCATGATGACGAGCACATGGTGACGTCATCCATCAGAACATATGATGACAACAACAACAACAATAATAATAATAATAATAATATAGTACACTATCACACAAATATTACCCAAAACAATAACTAAGAACTTTACTTTAAATGTGTCAAGGTAACAGAGAGTTGTGTGGTGTGGCTGATGACTGACTGACTTGGAGCTGTGTATTCTGTACTGAACTGAACTGTACTGTGCTGTGCTGTACTGCACAATACTGTACAGCACTGTGCTGCACTATACTGTGCTGCACTGTACACCCTCACACTTCATGGAGCCATAAAACACTTCCAGTTAAACGTTTTCTGTTGTTGACATCTGTAACTGTTCCACCTGACTGTAACTATACAGTCACAAGGTGTACCATGATACAGTTACCACCTGTAACTTACTGTACAGTCACTACCTAGAGGTGATTGTGTGTGTGAGACAGACAACTAACGGATGGAGAGAGAGAGATAGCACTTGAACCACGTCAAAACACACACTGAAGTCACCACTGTACATGAACCTCCCTCCCTCACTCACTCTCACTTCCGCTGTCGGTGGCTGGTCAATGTTGGTGAAGATGCTCCACCATCACCACCACCACCCATCACCACTCACCACCGCCACCACCACCATCAACACTACCCACCACCACCACTGCCACCACCATCACCACCACCACCACCACCACCATACCATCACCACTGCCACCACCATCACCACTACTGCCACCACCACCACCATAATCACCACTGCCACCACAATCACCACCACTGCATCACCACTGCCACCACCATCACCACTGCCACCGCCACCACCCACTACGCACTACTGCCACCACCATCACCACTGCCACCACCATCACCACCGCCACCACCACCACCTGCCACCACCATCACCACTGCCACCACCACCACCGCCACCACCACCACCATCACCACTGCCACCACCATCACCACCGCCACCACCCACCACGCCACCACCACCACCACCCCGCCACCACCGCCACCACCACCACCACTGCCACCACCACCATCACCACCACCACCATCACTCACTACACCAATCATCACCACTATACCAACAATTCATCACCACCACTATACCAACACCATCACCACCACTATACCAACACCATCACCACCACTATACCACCACCATCACCACCACTATACCAACACCATCTATAACACTTCAATAACAGTCTGTCAAGGAACAACATGTACAGTATATCACCCAAACCATACATGTGGTGGTTACTGTAACACGTAACACAACACCACACTGGTCGTTTAACCTACTTGACAACACCCACACGCCCACCCTGGTGAGACAACAGCTCACCACCTGTACTCTACCTAGTTCAACACCACACTGGTCGTTTAACCTACTTGACAACACCCATTATCGCCCATGCTAATTCTAGAGACAACAGCTCACCACCTGTACTCTACCTTAGTTCAACAATCAATAATTGGCTGCTTTAACCTACTTGACAAATGTCTAATATCGCTCCACCCTGGTGGAGACAACAGCTCACCACCCGTACTCTACCTAGTTCAACACCACACTGGTCGTTTAACCCATTGACAACACCATTGATACCACCTCCTGGTGAGACAACAGCTTCCACCACCTGCATTCTCTACCTAGTTCAACACCACACTGGTCGTTTAACCTACTTGGACAACACCATTATTTTGACTGGTGAGACAACAGTCACCACCTGTACTCTACCTGTTCAACACCACAATGCAATGTTTAACCTACTTTGACAACATCTGATACCAATTCTGGTGAGACAACAGTCACCACCCGTACTCTACCTAGTTCAACACCACACTGGTCAGTTTAACCCACGGACAACAATTCCATTATCAAAGCCCACCCTGGTGAGACAACAGCTCACCACCTGTACTCTACCTAGTTCAACACCACACTGGTCGTTTAACCTACTTGACAACACCCACACGCCCACCCTCGTGAGACAACAGCTCACCACCTGTACTCTACCTAGTTCAACACCACACTGGTCGTTTAACCTACTTGACAACACCCACACGCCCACCCTGGTGAGACAACAGCTCACCACCTGTACTCTACCTAGTTCAACACCACACTGGTCGTTTAACCTACTTGACAACACCCACACGCCCACCCTGGTGAGACAACAGCTCACCACCTGTACTCTACCTAGTTCAACACCACACTGGTCGTTTAACCTACTTGACAACACCCACACGCCCACTCCTGGTGAGACAACAGCTCACCACCTGTACTCTACCTAGTTCAACACCACACTGGTCGTTTAACCTACTTGACAACACCCACGCCCACCCTGGTGAGACAACAGCTCACCACCTGTACTCTACCTAGTTCAACACCACACTGGTCGTTTAACCTACTTGACAACACCCACACGCCCACCCTCGTGAGACAACAGCTCACCACCTGTACTCTACCTAGTTCAACACCACACTGGTCGTTTAACCTACTTGACAACACCCACACGCCCACCCTGGTGAGACAACAGCTCACCACCTGTACTCTACCTAGTTCTACCTCATCCTCCTCTGGTGGTAACATCCAAGTGGTCTGCTGTGACGTCATTACATGTAGACGCTGACGTCACTCCACTCATTGTAAACATTACCCTAATACCTCCTCTTTTTTGTCTTAGAGAGAAAGGCGAAGATTAGAGGTGGGGGAAGGAAGTTATAGTTGGGATATTGAAGAAATTTAGGAGGAGGTAAGAGAGGGCTAAGGTAATAGTGTGTTAGGGTTGTGTCATGGGTTAGTTATTGGCTGTCGGTACAGGCACTAGCCATCCTACCCTGTCCCATGTATGGGTGTTTTAAGGCCCTTATTTCATATTCCGCCGACCCTACTGGTGGATGCTGATCTAGGGAGGTTGTCTATTGCCTGGTAGTGTTCCTGATACACTCCAGGGAAGGGAGGGGGAGGGAAGGAAGGGGGGCTATGACTTCCTGGTCCTAACACACAAACTCTCTCTCTCTCTCTCTCTCATTATCCACTAGTGTGATGGACGCAGTACAACCTAACCTAACCTAACCACTGAACCTGTGTGTCATGTACTACCCCTTCCCCCTCCCCCACACACAGGAAATTCCAATTAAATCTAGCCATTACTTCCACCTCCTCCCTCACCCCTACCTCTCCTCCTCCCTTAGCCCTCATCCCTCTGCCCTCCTCCCACTCCCTTAGCCCTCCTCCCACTCCCTTAGCCCTCATCCCTACCTCTCCTCCCACTCCCTCTCTTCATGTGAGGGGAAGAAGAGGCTGTAAGACAACATCAAGATTACACCGCGGTAATGATACAGTAGGTCAGGAGCCACAATATTTAGACAGTATAAACTTGCCAGATATATATAGAAGTTAACATATAAAAGCGTTAACTATATTACCTGGACACCACGAGAGAGAGAGAGATATCAACCTACTCACCCACATCACCTTAGCTAACAATAAATAATGAACATAATGTA